GCATTATTTCATATGGGTGAAGCTAAAGAATCTCTCAAACTACTCTTGAATTCCATCCTTAGTTTCACCTTTTTTTTCCCTATCTCAAAAACATATACTTTTCTAAGTATATGAATGTGTCAGTGATATCAAAATTAAATAACTTTAGGCTCGTCAGATTCTTCTCATCGAGAACTGAAATTTGACTATAAACTTATAAGTTTTTTAGATCATTTGATGTTTTATTGTTAATGATATCTTTGAGGTTTTATTATGCTTCAATTATTTTATCTTGGCCGTATATCTTCTTTTTATTTGAAATTCATTTAAAATAATAATATTTAAATTCCAAAGCATTCCTCCCCATAATAATGACAATGGCAAGAGTCGTGCGACAACTAGCATCCAACAATTATCTGTATTAGGCTGCAATAAATTTAATTTCATTTAAAATATCACGACATGCATTACATACAAATGATCATATATTTACGTAATAACTAACAAAATAACTTTCTGTGCACTTATTGGTGACATAGTGATTGAGAGTATAATTTTCTAGTTTGAGATGTTGTGATATATATGAAATTTGAAATAGAAGAACAATCTTTGACAAAGTAAAAAATAGTTTGACGAAGTAAAAAATAGAACGAGAAAATTAACACCAGAAAAGAACAACAGCGGAACACACAGATTTACTTGGTTCGGCAAATTGTTTACGTCCACAGAGTTGCAGAGGATTTTACTACTTGAAGAATATACACTAGTCGATCATCTCAACTTACAAGAGGGATCTCTCACTTTCTTGGTCTCTCTTCTTCTCTCTCTACACCGAGATACATCGAAAAAGATAAACTTACAAGAGCAATAAACCCAATTTCGCTTCTGTCATAAAAAACCAAACTTACAAGAGCAATAAACCCAATTTCGCTTCTGACACAAACAACCAAGAGGTCAAGGGAGAACAATCTTCTTCTTTTTTTTTCTTCTTCTATTTTCTTCTTCTTTCTACCGCAAGGAACTGCTGCTTGCACTTCTCATCCTCTATCCCGAGGAAGCTCGAAGAAGAACACCAAAAAGGTCGTGTCGTAAACTGAAGGAGAGCTGTTGCGATGCCTTTTATCGCGAGAGAAAGAGCCCATCGGTTCGCGACTGAATAGGCGGGAGCGGGAAGACGGACCGGGCTCCAAACACAACAAATCTCCCACTTAGAGACCGGTACACATGCAACAACATCTCCTTCCTCAAACTGATATCCTTCATTGACGACGTCCTCTTTTTCTTCAAACATGAATCCTCCACCTCTTCAATTCAAAGCCCCTTGTCTTCACACCAGAAGACCAAGTGAAGCTGCGCACAACTTCAGTTTCTCAAGAGTAGCACCCTAAGAGTAACACCTTTACTCAACATATCAACAGGGTCCACATAGCCCTGCACCTCCAAGCTATTTCCTGGTTTACTCTTCTCTTTGCTTACAACTCCCACGACATTAGCAATATTCTGCCTCTACTGAAAGTCTTTTTTAATAAGTCTAATCTTGTACATCTTACTGTCATCATATTCAGCCTTCACCTGGTACACTCACTTGTTGTGTAATACCTTCTTTTATGGTGGAAGTTCTGTCAGCTCCCACTTGCTTGAATTTTCATCTTACAAGATTTCTTTATAGTTCTGTGACTCTCCACCATCTATCTGTGGAACAATAAAAATCGGTTCTCCGGACCCACTCTCTATCACATTCAATGCTTCTCCATCTGCCATATATACTTTCCCAAAATCACTTGCAACATAATTTTGCATCAATTCCTGATAAAATGTTGTATGGAAAGAAGCTCATGAATCCAATATTCAGTCATCAACAAAACTATGAACTGCTAACATTATTACATCTTGTACTTCTTTAAATATCACATTTGTGTTATGATTCTCCATCTTCTTGGGATTCCTGCAGTTTCTCTTTATGTGGTCAGTTTTGCCACAATTCTGGCAGGTTGCTTGTTTACCAGGCATTGACTTACTTCTGCTTTGATCTCCCGCTATTGGAGTTTTTGTCATGTGATCTCCCTCTGAAATCAACCTTCTGTGTCGAACTCAAACCTGAGATCTCGTCAGAATCTTTCCTACGTATCTCTTCAGCCAAAATCAAATCATGAATATCATCATATTTCAGTTCATATTTACTTGTATAACTACTAACTGCCATTCTCATGGCTTCGTAACTATATGGCAACGATGTCAACAATATCAGCGCACGTATCTCCTCATCAAAATCAATTTCAAAAGAAGACAATTAATTTGTGATAGTATTGAAATCATTCAGGTGTTGAGCAACAGAAACATCTTCCGTCATCTTCAAATTGAATAACTTCTTCATCAAGTACACCTTGTTATTCGTCAAGGGCTTTTCATACATACCTGATAAGGCTGAGATGAAATCTACAGTCATTCTTTCCTTGACGACGGTGTGTGCAACGGATCTCGATAGGGTCAATCGAATAACTCCCAAAACTTGTCGATGCAACAAATTTCATTCAGCCTCATTCATCCTTGCAGGTTTTTCCCCAATAACGGAAGATGAAGTTTCTTCTCATAGAGGTAGTCCTCTATCTGCATCCTCTAATAACCAAAATCTGTGCCATCAAATTTCTCGATCACTAAAACCTTCACTTCATCTGCAACCTTCGCCTTTCCTCAGATTTGAAATCACGACCTTTGATACCAGTTGTTGTGGTATATATGAAATTTAAAATAGAAGAAGCTCTTTGACGAAGTGAAAATAGAATGAGAAAATTCACACCAGAAAAAAATAACAGCGGAACACACAGATTTACGTGGTTCGGCAAATTGTCTACGTCCACGGAGCTGCAGAGGATTTTACTACTTGAGGAATATACACTAGTTGATCATTTCGACTTACAAGAGAGATCTCTCACTTCTTTGATCTCTCTTCTTCTCTCTCTACATTGAGATACACTGAAGAAGGTAAACTTACAAGAGCAATAAACCAAATTTCTCTTCTACTACAAGCCGCCAAGGAGAAGTTAAGGGAGAACAATCATCTTCTTCCTTCTGCCGCAAGGAGCTGCTGCTTGTACTTCTCTTCCTCTATCACGAGCAAGCCCGAAGAAAAACACCGAAAAGGTCGTGTCGTAAACTGAATGAGAGCCGCTGCGATGCCTTTTATCACGAGAGAGAGAGCCCATCGGTTCGCGACTGAAGAGGCGGGAGTGGGAAGACAGATCAGGCTCCAAACTCAACATGAGATTGCTGTGTTGAATTGTATATATTTCTCTAATGGACTTGCCTTTCTCAAAAATAAAATAAATAAATAAAATCACTTTATTGAGATAACTATATCATAAAAACCTTTTAACTATTGGGTATCAACGTAACTTTATTTTATAAAAAATATGAATATTTATGTAACTTATATAAGGCTTTTTTTAATGGATATGTCATAATGATCAGCACGTCATATAAGTTTGGAAAAGTATATCCAAAATAAGTTCATTCTAATGTTGAGCCCACCTCCTCAAGTGCTCAAATTGAGCCTACATATCCAAGTGGACGAGCTTAGCCCACCAACTCAAGTGTTAGAGCTGAGTCAACCTTCCGAAGTAGCCAAACGGAGCCTACATATCGAACTTGTTGAGCTTAGCCTACCAACGAAAGTGGTCAAGTTGAGCCCGCCTTCAGAAGTAGACAATCTAACTTGGGACGAATTAGCTACCCGAGCAAGATCATCCCATGATTTTCATATTTTGATATTTTAATCAAGACATCATGGACATGTGCAGTACTATACGATTATTTTATTCTCCCTTATATTGAGGAGGCAAGGAAAGAGGGGGGAACCATTCTCTGCTTCCCTGGTGCAATCGAAGAGGAGAATCAAGAACCGAACTCTAACAAAACATCGACTTCATTCATCCACACCTTCATTTAAAGTGCATGATCTCGTTGGGATGCACGAGCTCATGTACAACAAGAGATCTTATGTTCTAAAATAATTCAACTTGATGCATTTTTTTCTCAAATTCTCGAGCGACTAAATATAGTTAGAATTCAAATTAAGAATTTGGATGATAATCTAAAATAATATTATCCAAATTTGAAAAATGCTATGTCCGTTGTTCGGACATAACGCATGACGACATAAATCTTACAACGCAATAAGTCCAATGTCATGTTGTGATTCACTTCTGATTTTCGAGACCTAATATTTTCTTATAAAGTAGGCATAATAAAAAAATATGAAATTAATTTAAATAAACACAAAAATTAAAATCAACAAATCTATCACGTGACGCTTAATTCGGCGCCGGTGTTGAAAAATTAGAGCATGCGACAAAATAAACTTTTCCGCAACCCTAGGCCGTCAGGAGCTCTGGGCCCTTACGGCCCAGAGAGAATGGAACAGTTGAATTCCTTATATTGTCTATGTAAATAGAAAAGACTGGAGTCCAACAAAAATGTAATGTTAAGTTACTCTTTTGAAGGGACAAAAGACCAAACTAACATTTCATGTTGGGAAAAAATTGAATTTGGGGGAGATAATTGTGCCCTGTCCTTACCTGATCCGCCCCGGTAAGTATGTAACACAAACTCTATTACAAAATCAAGATTTTTTTTCTCATTTGC